CTGCATCTCTTAAAATGTATGTATTCAAAATTAGAAACCTGCCACATTTAAATAAATCAGAGACAAATAACTGCTATGAACTATTTAAATCATTTCAAGTACATAAGATTTAGTAAGCTTACACTACATTAATAATAACACTTACTTTTACTAATAGTAGCATTACATGTTCAAAATTTGAATGTTACTTAGCTTCCTAGCATTACAATGGCACAACTTTAAAACCTGTATTACTTTTTACTTTATATTTTAGGAGTCTTCTGGGCCAAATTATACAATCTGTAGCTCTTTGTCACAAAATAGCTGTCTAGAAAAAACTAAAAATGAAAAAACCAAGGTATTTGTCACCCCACACTTCCTATTCAATATGGCTTATTATTTTTTCTAATTTATATTTTATTTTTACTAATTTAAAAGATAGTTAATAGAATATCAGAAACAGTGAACATTACCATTTCCATAAACACAAGCACATGTACATTTTCCTTACAATGAGTACTGTCTAGATTTTCTATTGATAAACTCTGACCACTTCTTCAGGGCAATTCGTGTACTCACTTTAGCATTACCATTAAGAAGGAAGGTTCTCCAACCATCAGGAACAAGAGTCTCACCTTTGCACAAGTTACTTAACTGTACAGAGGCCCTATTTCATCTTATGTAAAATACAGATAATACCGACTCACCTCAAGGGTGTATCACAGGATTATGTAAGCTAAATTTGTAGAAAGCAGTTGGCACAGTGCCAGGAGGGATCCAAGAAGAAAGGGTATTTACTATGATATGCTTTGAACGTATATATGTATGCATGTTAATGAGTTCTTACTAGCTGCGTTCATTAAAGGTTTTCTCTATCCTGTGATTTGCTTTTAGATTCTGGAATATATTTCATTGTGCATATTCCATTTTTCTTATTAATCTAACAACATTTATTACTATTATTATCATGAATTCAATCATATCTACTGTATCTCTGATGATGACCATGATTCCTTTAATAAACATAAAAGGCTCTTCCCTTCAACACGGGGTAAATAACCTATCACATGCTGTAAGTCTGCATCAGCACCCAGGGCTGCCCCTGCTCACTTACCAGATCTGCTACCTTAGCCAGATCAATCATCATGTTAACGTCACACCCATATTCAATAATGGTGAGGCTGCGCTTTTTACCTATAAGTGAAAAGATTAAAATTTTACTTTAAAAAGACACTAAAAAAACTCTAACCATCAACTCTAATTTTCATTTTTTAAAAATTGCATCCAGTAAAACACATATACATTTTCAGGAGTGTACCAGAAGTTCACCTTTACAGGCAAAAAGTGATAACATAAAATAAATTCCATCCTGTTTTTCTTTCTGTGTTCTAAATTTAAATAATGTCAAAAGTCTACCCAGGTGAATAAGAGTGCTCACACAGAGAAAATCCTGACTGGACAGGCTCCATGATAACCATGATCCTGCTGTTCAGCTGCAGGCCAATGTCTTCGCCTCTAACAAAACTTCCTGTATTCCTACTATAGTGAAAAACATCCTCAAACACAACGCAACGGAATATTCATAACAATAATTATTTCTAAATTAAGGTAAAAGGAAAATGGTCAAGAAAATATGGGTTGGGCACAGTGGCTCATGCCTGTAGTCTCAGCACCTTGGGAGGCCAATGCAGGCAGATCCCTTGAACCCAGGAGTTCTGAGACCAGCCTGGGCCACATGAGGAAACCCCATCCCAAAAGGGGAAAAAAAAAAAGGGAAGAAAAATTAGCCAGTTGTGGTGGCGTACACTACTCAGGAGTCAGGACTGCTTGAGCCTAGGCGGTTGAGGCTGCAGTGAGCTGTAATCACACCACTGCACTCCAGCCTGTGCCACAGAGTAGGATTCTGTCTCAAAAAAAGAAAAAGAAAATATGGATGCTCCAAAGATAAAGAAAAGCCCAAATCCAACTATGTTATTGCAATAACAAGAGATTTCAGATTGTACATTGCCATTCTACCACTGGAAGCTTGTTTTATTTTCCCCCAAACTTGGAAAGGTCACCATCTCCCAACACGGACAAATTCTCATAGGAAAAAGAGGAAACTCTCACTTCCACCAGAATGCGGCTTCAAAAGGGCAAGCATGTGCGCCTGGCACATAGGAGGTATATGCTATCTGTTAAATGATATTTTCATGGTGACTCAATAAATAAAGCTATATTAGTATTAAATATTGTAATTTTTGTATTTTATAACTATGTAAAACATATCCAGAGGGAAAAAGCACACTTATCACCAGAGAAACAGTTTAAAGTTTAGGAACAAACAAATTCTGTGAATTCTTTTATCTTGAGCAAGAAACACCAACCAGTGTGCAGATGCTGGAGGCAAGGCAGCTTCTATGGGAGAGGCTTCCCATATATTCATGAAAGCCACACAGCATGGATCTCTATGTCCTTTGGAGCTGGACTAGACTCATGAATCCAAATGTCACCTGTGAGAGGCTCCTACTATTTAAAAAGAATCAACAGAAGAACCACCAGACTGCAGCTAAACATACATGTGAAAGGATCCAGCCACCGCACAGTGGACTGAACTGCAAAAGCTCTGGGATTTCTCTTCTGGGCCTCATCTTCGTCTCCTAGTTGAAGATCCTGCAGATGCTGCTGCTTTTTCTTTTCAGCTTTGTGCCCACTGTTTTTCTTTCTGTGTTTCTTCTGGTCCTTAGCCCTCATAGAGGCTATTCACCAATAACAAGTAACTTTAACCTACAAGGAAGAAGGTTGGGGTAAGGACGTGAAAGAAGCATTTTACAATCCAGGCAATACCCAGGGAAAAACAGTAAATTTCATTTCTTTATTAAGAGATAATGTATTTGTTCACTGAGTAAGGGTAGAAACTGCTTAACCATCCCCAATTTCATTGCTCTCTGTTATGCTATAAATTAGATGAGTTAACTCTGCTAAGGTTATATTTTATGGTTAAGTTGCTTTTTATTCATCTTAAGTGTCAACATCAGCAACATCTAGTTCTGCTAGGCTGGAAATATTCTATATCTGTACTTTTCAGCCATTTAGTCATTAGCCATATGTGGTTACTTTAAATGTACTTAGGGCAACTAAAATATGAATTTTTAATTAAGTTCATTCTAACTCTAAATTGTCACTTGTGGCTATCATACTGGACAGCTCAGACCTAGATATCAACTGGACTAATGAAGTGATTCCCTAACTTAAACTTAAATTTCAATTTAAAAATGTAAAACGTTTTTATGAACATCCAATATGATCTTAATATTACTTTTAGTACCTGTTGAATCTGTAAAAACTCCTATATTACAACTCATCTACATACATTTGAAAAATAACAGAATCTGCATGTGTGAGAAATGACTGGCTCTAAATGATGCCTGGAGACCCCATGGACTTATAGAGACCCTTCTAGTAATTTCTGAGCTACCTGGCAATCTGTGGCCAATAAATTGGTAATCACTGAATTAGTGCATTTTTTAGGAAATCGGGGTATATAAAATCTGACAGCTTGATTTTTAAAAAGTGGGGCAGGGTGTCATTTCATTCAATTAAGGCACTGCATTAATTCCATTTAATAAATATTTGTGTCTGACTATGATGTGCTAGGCACTGTGCCAGTAAATGGATACAGCTATGATCAGACTTGCAGAGGGAAATGCAGCCCGGTATCTTCTGTGCCATGCAATAAGGGCTACATTGGAAGGCTGCACTGGAGCACAGAGGTGAGTCAGCACTTCCCACAGGCACACATACCAGTGGAAAAAGAAAGTTTTTTTTTTTCTTTCGAGACAGAGTCTTGCTCTGTCGCCAGACTGGAGTGCAGTGGCGCGAGCTCACTGCAACCTCCGCGCCCCGGGTTCAAGCGATTCTCCTGCCTCAGCCTCCCGAGTAGCTGGGACCACAGGCTCGCGCCACCACCCAGCTAATTTTTTTGTATTTTTAGTGGAGACAGGTTTCATCAAGTGGGCCAGGATAGTCTCGATCTGTCGACCTCGTGATCCACCCACTTCGGCCTCTCAAAGTGCTGGGTTTATAGGCATGAGCCACCGCGCCTGGCCCATAAAGTCTTTATATATCACCAGAATGTCAAGGAACACTGGCCGGGAGTTAGGGGAGCCGGCTGCTACGAACGCTTTGAAACGGAAAAGCTGTGTGACTTCAGAGATTGTTTTGTCTCTACCATATTTTAGTTCAGAACTTGTAATAATGTTTCTCTCCCTGTCTTTCTTCTTGGTGGGAAAAGCATAATTTGGGGTCAACAGAGCCAGCTCAGGTCTAAGTCGTCAGCCGGGACCGGTCTCCAGAAAACGACTTCTCCCTGCCCCCTTCCCTCCGCGTCAGGTCACTCTCCCAACGACCCAGACACCTCCCACAGATGCGAAATATGCCGTTCCTCCGGAGCAAAGATTCCCGGGATGACCGGGGACGACCTTTCCACCCGCACGACTCGCGATCCTCCCTGTGCCCCAGACCTAGGGTCCCCACCGCCACCTACCACAGTCCGCGGCGCTGAACCGGCTCACAATTTGAACTGCTCAGGTCCGCACAGAAACCACCGGAAACGGAAATTCACCATCCAGCTGACTCGCCGGAGGGAAACAAGAAGAAAGAAAACGAGAGAGGCTGTGGGACGACTTTCAGAGGAGAAACGGAAGAAAGACTCTGCCCATTCCGCGCCACCCGAGGCCTCAGCTCCCGCGGTGGGACTCCTCAGCAGCTTGCACCGCGCTCCCCGGAGTCCTCCCCTAAAGCCAGGGCAGTGCGACCTGGCGCCAGTTACTTGGTGCGGTACAAAGGAAGGAGACACATTTGGTCCTGGCCGCCCCGGAGTCACCGTGCCCGGGAGTCCACTTCCTCCTCTTTAAAGATGACAGATGAGTGGCATCTTGCGTTCTGGGGTGCCCTAAACGCGAGATGCCCCTCATCTATCATCTTTAAAGAGAAGGAAGGGCGCGGTGGCCGGGCGCGGTGGCTTAAGCCTGTAATCCCAACACTTCGGGAGACGGAGACGGAGACGGGAGGATCGCTTGAGCGCAGGAGTTCAAGACCTGCCTGGACAACATAGGGAGACCCCGGTCTTACGGGAAGAAAAAACATTAGCCGGCGTCGTAGCGGGCTTCTGTGGTCCCAGCTACTCTGGAGGCTGAGCCAGGAGGATCGTTTGAGCCCGGGAGGCGGAGGTTGCAGTGAGCTGAGACTGAGCCACTGCACTCCAGCCTGGGCGACAGAGCTACTTGGGCAGACAGGAGTGGTGACAGGCAGGGAAGATGGTGCCCAGGGCCGGGACTAGCCAGCTGCCGGCAGGGAGGCGGCTGCGGCCGGGGAGCCAAGAGATGAAGCAGATCCCAGGACCAACTCAGCAGCCGCATCTCCAGCTTTGTTCCTGGGCCTGGGAAGCAGCGGCCCCCGGGCACCCCACGTGCGCGCCGGGCCCACTTCTCCACCACAGCGCGGCGCGGGCTGCCTGAGACCTGCGAGTTTCCCACCAGGACCGGGCGCGGTCTGGTCGGAGGAGAAAGGCGCGGCCCTGGTGGGGAAGGGGCAGGGCTGCGGCTCCGGCCACGGCCATGGGGCAGGGGTAGAGAAACGACCCTGGCGCCGTCTAGGCGCCCAGCTCCGTTCCCCCCGCCGCCAAGAGACTCCCGGGACCGCTGGTGGCTGAGGGCCCACGGAGCCCTGGAATTCACCGGGGTGCCTCACGGTGCAGAAGCGGGTGGAGTCTGAGACGGCGCTCAGGACTCGGATTTCGCCGCTGGTTTTAAAATTGTGCTCGCGGAGCCCAGGACGCTGGAAGAAGTGTTCTGCGCCCCTCCGGTCGCGGTCTCCGCATTAAACCGACTTTCAGAGCTGCCTCTGCTCCCTGCAGGGGACGGAACCGGTGTCTCACGAGATCGCAGGTCTTCAGCCTCCCGCCCGCCTGCCTCGCTCCAGATGCAGGGGGGACCCCGCCTCGCTGCGCTGACCCCTGGCGGCTCTGTCCTGGCGTAGGATGCCTCTATCCAGGAACTGGCGGAGGTCAGACTCCTGCACCCCGAACCTCTCCAGGTCCTCTCCATGGAATACGGACATCTGCGCCCACAGGCCCTGCGCAGCCAGGAGGCTCAGCGCCCGAAGCTCGCTCCAGAGCTGTGCACCCTGCGGGAAGCGGCTGCAGAGAAACTGCTGGAACGGCCCTGTGTGGGTGCGGCAGGTGGGGGCTGGTCCTCCCTCCTTCTCCATCTGCAGCTTCAGACTCTGCACAATGTCCAGCACACGATGGGCGCCGAACCCAGCTGGAACAGGGTGCCTTGCTTCTCAAAAGTTCACAGGCGCGCATGGCTTGGTCCTCCTTTCCAAAGTGTCTCAGGACATAAGCCCTCCTGTCCTCCTCCAGGAATCCCTCCACCCTTATGTTGATGGCCTTCTCTGCCAGGAGCTGCAGGTCCTTCAGGGACCTGGGTCCAGCGGTGACCAGCAGGGTGGTCTCGGGTAGCATCTTCCTCTTCAGCAAACTCCCCAGGAGGACCGGCACCGGCTTCAGCTTCTTCCAGTCCCCGCAGATGTCCTGGATCAGCGCCCCGGGTGGGACTCTCAGCTCATCAAGGCCTTCGACCATGAGCAGGATTCTATGTGCTTAGGCTAGGATGTTTGGAATGTCATCCTGCAATTCAGGCCGGTCTTTGGCAATCAGCTCTGCAAAACTGCAGCGGCCCAGGTGACTCAGCTCCTTGCAGCTGAGGTAGAAAGCGTATCTGGCCTTCGGGCCGAGGTTGTAGTCTTTCCAGTGCAGCATACACATTTTAGCCAGCATGGTTTTCCCCACGCCCGCAGGACCCTGCAGACCCACCATGTAAGGCGATAGCTGCGTGTTCTGCTGTGATTCAAGAATGGAACGAACCTTTGGTTTCTCTGAGTGACGTGGTCGTGGAAATTGTCACTGTCTCCTCGCCAAAAGGTGTTCCTCCAAACCAAAGATTGTTCGTCCATCGCATTTCTCCATCCTTCCTTCTCACCTGGCTTTGCTAACTCCAAGACCTCTTCTGAGTCTCTGAGCTCAGGGTTATCTGAGTCTTCTACCTGTCCGTCCTCCAGCAACTCAGCCTTTGCCATCTTAGACAATTCTGGAAGATTCATCCCTTTCAAGATCTTCACAGTCGCATTCCTTATCCAACATTCTGAGGATGTGTTGACCAGAATTTCTGCCAGTTTCTTGCCATTGTCCTCTTCCACCTCAGACCATGAGGTCTTCTGTAGCACATCTACTAGGGGAAAAGTCCATAAGAGGGATTTGAAAGTCCCTAATTCACCCTTGCTCAGCTGCTCCAGAAGGGTGTACAGAGTGCACTCTATCTGTGGTGATGTCATAGGGCTCCAAGTATGAGACCTTAGGTTAAGGCTGAAGAACTCCTTAAGGAAGGACTTGCTTCCAGCCTCCAATTGTTGATTTTTTAAGTGAACTTTTTTCAAGTTACTTTTATTAATTCCTCCTCTTTCATCCATCACTATGATTTTAACTTGTTTTATATCTTTGGCTTAATATTGCTTTAATTTCTATTCCATTTAATAAATGGCTAATACCTTGATAACTTACTTGCCTGTATGCCTTTGAATCCAACTATTCTCCTATTTCTTTACTTTTTTTTACTACACTTCAACTATATTTTTATAATTCCCCAATTGATTTTGAAAACAAGTTTTTCTGACATATATCTATATGAATTTGAGATTAATTACATCAAAGTACATATAAATTACCTATATCAGCCTATAAATATATTAAACACCAATGAAAGAACATTTCTTAACATATAAGCATTTCAGCATGCCAATATAATAGATTTCTTCAAATTTTAAATTGTTTTTATCACCTAAGTCAATTTGTATTTGACATTTGGGTTACATGTGCCTATAAATATAGACATATCACTCAACTGACATATAGAACAGCAAAGGACACTTCTGTCCTGGTCGATCTATGGTCTATATTCCTCCTCATGAAATAACCTAGACAAAAAGCAAGACAGATGAAAAATGCCACATATTGATTTAATACATTTTCTTTGCTTTCTTATCTTTTAAATATACAATTGTGCACTATGGGTGTGTGTGAATTAAAACAATAATAATCTAGACTATGAGCTCTGTGGGCCAAAAGAGAGACACAGCATAGGTGAGAGGAGGACAGCTGTTCTTCATCAAGCTATTCATACAAACCAATTGAAGAGGTACACTAGATTATCTAAGTCTTGATGGCCTTAGATGTTACATAGGTCTTCAAGTGATAATTTATTTTGCTTTAATTTATTGTCCTGTATGTTATTTGTTCTCCTATTCTTTTAATAGGGTCAAAGTGAAAAGTCACTAGTCTAAGAATGCTTCATATACTCCATAAACTGTCTGAATCAAATATCCTTATTTTTCAGCCAAACACAACTGATATCCACTACAATTATTTTTTTAAGGTAAGAAACAGTAAGTCAACTGAAGGAAGAGCTAGGATGTCAAGCTATAAAACGTTACTGCTTTTTAACATACTGACTGAGAAATGCAGAACTGTAGGGTAGGGTCTTGTTGCTGTTGGCTGCAACAGGACATGAGCCCAGCCTCAGAGGGCCTTTTCCCAGAATGCTCTGCAGCACCTGACACATTGCTGGTATACCATCTCAAAGTCAGGGTCATTCCCTTAATAGGGATTTTCAATAACAAGTTGTTTGGGTGGATCATAGCTCCCAATTTTAGCCTTGCAGTTTTTAACTTGATTACATTTTCTATTCAAATCTCTCCAGTTGCTTTCATTCATACATGGTATATAATCAAATGTGGTCAAGTCTTCTTTGATAGTCTGTTGGGCCGTGTGATTCATGGGCAAACCATGTTTCTTCATGCAATTTTCCTCTCTGTAATCTGGAGGGTTTCCTATTTCATATGTGGATGTCACTGCACAGTCTAGCCTCCAAAATATCTGAAACATTTTGATCATTACATGTCTTGTGGAAATTGCTTCTACAAATGAGTGACTGACTGCAATGGGTGTATGTGTTACCCAGTCACACACGACACTGAGTTGGGCACCTGCTTGTCCATCTTCTCTAGAATTTTGCTTTATGCACTTTTGTAACTCACAACTTCATTAGGGCTCAGTATTTTTCCAATATAAAATTATTGTTTTCCAATTCAATGTTGTATAGCCTAAATCTACTTTATTGCATATTGGTATGATTCTTTTTGATTACTATTCTTACGTGTTTACCTGAAAAGTATTTGTCATATTTGAATCATTGTGCTTTAGTTATTTCTCTTGTAATCAGCATGCATTATATTTCTGAATCCATTTATTAATCTTGTTTTTTAAAGGAGAATTTTTAACCAGATAGTTATCATAATACAAATATATTTGATTTTACTTCTATAATGTCTTGTGCATTTCAAATTTTTTTATGATGTTTAGCATTCTGTTACCATTATTATTACTAGAGGTACCTCCTACCTGAAGTTAAGCATTTCCTTTTAACCTCTAGTGGTTTTCTTTTCTTTTTCCTTTTTTTTTTTTTAAATGTATGATAGTCTGTATTTACAACTTTATTGGCAAAAAAGAAAAGGAAAAACTTTTAAACAGTTTAACACTGGGCATTGTAGCTGATCCTGTCAGATAAAAGAAGTTCCATTTTAAATGTCCATCTAATTGTTTAAAGATACACAATACTGAATCTACATATGCATTTTTTATGAAGTACAGTGCTCATGTTTTAGGCAGTCTTCTAAACATACAAATACAAAAGAAATGAAATCACTCATTAAAAACTGTGTCAAATGAAGGGTATTTTAAATGTAAGTTTGTTGTTTCTGGTAATAGCACATGCCCGAATGAAAACCAAAAGATGGAAAAGCAGATACACTTCTTACTTGGTGAACAGTTACAACAATCAATCACTTTCTGCAATGACCGTTGTATTTTCAATTTATCATGAACCACTCTCAACTTACCATGAGATGTAGCCAAAGTCAAAAGAGAAGAGACAAAGTCAGAAGAGATGTCAGAAGGGAAGACAATATTCCTTTTTTGCAGGAGAGTAAGTCCTCCAGAATCAGTATGGGAAATAAACATCCTGTTGATTCTAGGTAGAAAAAAATTATCGTAGCCAATTTCAACTCATGTTGAGCTGACTTAATTTTTTCATCGACTTGTTTGGTGTCATTCTCCTAAATCAAGTGTATTTAATTCCTCTTCTAGTTCATCCAAATTTTCTCCAGTGAAAAGATTTTCATCAATAAGAACAGCATCAACAGCTCCATTCTCCAGTCCCTCCCTTTCGTTGTCCTCTTCCAGGTCACTTCTTTCACCATTTTCAGCCCTATCTCCAGAAGCTTCGATTAATTTGTTTTCATCTTTATCTGAAGTATATACGCTGAATCTTTCAAGACTGGCTACAGTAATACCCGTTTCATCTGCATCTCTTGGGATGTACAGGCTTATATCTATGTCATTTACACTCACTGAATCATCAACCTCATCACCACCTGTTCTCTGTGTGTAGCAAGTATCATCTGCTTCCTCATCATCATCATTGACCAGTTCAGGAAAAATTCAAACACTTTACGACCACAGATCACCAACACTTTCCCTGCTTTGAAGTCAGCTTTCCTTCTTTCCATATCTTGTTCAAGTTTATCAATTGTTTCTTGTCTTTTCCTTTTCTTTCATGCAAGAAAAGATTCTAGAGTGATTTTGGTAGCATTTGGACCTAGGGCAGAACACTCTCTTTCAATTAGATCTTATGATGAAATTTCATCTTCTTTCTGTTCTTTGTTTTCTTTTTTTTTTCAACACAAATCTAGGAGTAAGTGTATGATGATACATGCAAATATCATCCTCTCTAGGGCATGCCTCAAACCAGCCATATTTCTTGTTTTCAATAGCTTCAAGAAAATGCTTGTACACTGTTTGAGTTTTTGGATTTTCTTTTCTGCCTCACCGTGCTTCTTGTTCACTACTTCTTCCAGCTTTTTCTCATCCCAATTATCCATAGTATCTTTTTCAAGTTCTTCCTTTCTTGCATCAATGTAAACACTTTGCTTTTCACATTTCTCTCCAGAGTCAAGTCATGGGAGAATTTACACTGATCTCCCTTAGTACACCGTCCTTGCTTGAAGAACGCACATAGCACAGGCTTGGGATCTGCACCTTGACTTATTTTTTGAGCAACTACAAGTTTGAACAGCTCATTTAGCTCCCGCAATTCTTTCTTCTTGTCACCCTTCTTCAATTTCTTTTCAGCTTTACTCTCTGCTACCTGACACGGATTTTGTTGACCAAACTTAATTTTATGTGTGACAGCCTTGATAAAATTCTGTTGCTTTGGTCCTTTCTTATTCTTCAAACCAAAAGTTTTGTCTTCAATAATCTCCTTCTTTTTCTGCTCCACCTTTTTGCCCTCGGCCTGAGCCTGTTTCTTGGGGGGCATTGCGGAGACGAATGACACCTTCCAGACTTAAGTGCAGCTGAATACCGTCAGGGGTTGTCAGGGGTTCTGGCCCTGCGGCAGGAGGAGGAGGGGGACCCGGCCTAACTCGCTACACTGCAGGGAAAGCAAGTTGCTCCCAGTGGTTTTCTTTATGCTTAAAAATACATGCAACTCCATTACTCTTTCAGAATTAACTGTGAAACTACATATTCAAATCTCTCCTTCTGTAGGACAATACTAAAATATCTTTTTTTTTCCTCCTCTTCTTTTTTTCCTCCTCTTCTCCTTTTTTTTCCTCCCACTTGATCTTTGTTTACAGAATTTTAGACCCAGTTTACTGTTTCATTTTTTCTTCTTAAAATCATGCATGGCTTCTCTAAGCTACATATTTGCCATTCACGTTCCTTTATTTTTTCCCATCTGTATCTATAGTTACAATTAAGACTGAATTCTATGCTCCAATTCTTTTAATGATTGTTGAATGTTTCTTAATACTATGTTTAGCCACTGTTCATTGCTTTATTCTGATGGATTTTTGATTAGCTAGAGTAGCTTCTTGAGCAATATATTTAATAAGTAGTATGATTTCTGAGACAGCATATCTGAGAATGTTTTCTGTTGCCTTTACCTTTATACATTAATTAAAACATATCTGTATATAATATTGTTGTGTCACAACTTTCCTCTTTAATATTGTTTGGGATTTTCCATTGCCTTCTTCCTGTGTGTAATGTAATGGAGAGGCTTTCACCTATTCATTTTCCTCTCCTCTTTTACTTTCTCTCTTACCCCCTCACAACTTTCTTTCTCCTCCCCTCTATTCTTCAACTCCTTCCTCCTCCTTTCTCTGTTTCATTTATTCCTTCTCCTCCCCTTCTTTCTCTTTCCTTTTTACCCTCTTCCTCCTTTTTCTTCTCCTTCTCATCCCCTTTCTTCTCACATACCTCCTCCCTGTTTTTCTCCTTCTTCCTTCTCCTCCTGCTTTTCCTCCCCTTTCTTTTTCACTTTTTCCTCA